TCTATTTCTTTCACCAGGTAGGAGAAGTTTTCTGTCATTATTTCTTCAAATAGGTTTGCAATATCTTGCTCTCTCTCTTATTCTGGCACCCCCATAATTTGGATGTTGGTACGTTTGAAGATAGCCCAGAGGATCCTTACACTATCTTCATATTTTTGGATTCTTTTTTCTTTTTGTTTTTCCAGTTGGGTGTTTTTTGCTTCTTCGTATTTCAAATCTTTGATTTCATTCTTGCGATCTTCTAGTCTGCTGTTGGAACTCTGTATAATATTCTTTATTTCAGTCAGTGTATGCTTAATTTCTAGTTGGTCCTTTTTCATAACCTCAAGGGTCTCACTAGATTTCTTGAAGGTCTCACTAAATTTATCAGTGGTTTCTAGAAAATTCTTGAAAAACCTTATAACTGTGGTTTTGAACTCTATATCCAGTAGTTTGCTATCCTCCATTTCTGTCATTTGTGACCTGTTTATTTGTCTTTGCATTTTTTATGCTTCCCTTTGTTGATAGAGTGACTTTCTGTGCTAGGTGTCCTATAGGGCCGGCCCAGTGGCTCAGCCTCCCCAATTACGTGAGGTGGACACTCTTGGTGCACCCCTTTGTGGGCTGTGTGCACAGTCTTGTTGTAGTTAAGCCTTGATTGTTGTAGGTATCACTGGGAGGAATTGACCTCCAGGCCAATTGGCTGTGAGAGTCAGCTGTGTCTATGGTGGGAGAACTTCTGTGCTGGAGACACCCTTATGGGGCAAGAATTGCTTCAGCGGGGCTTTGGTGATCACTAAGTCTGCCTCCTGACTATGTCCCTTATGGATCTGAGGAGTTGTAATCTGGATAGTCCCACTCTGACCACTGTGTACACTAACTCTTGGATCTCTAAGGAGGTGCTAATTTAGCCTCTGCCTGAGGCTACCTGGCAGGAGCTACGGAGAGATCTGCAGATTCCTCTTCTTTGTTTGAGGTTTGGAGGTGCCCAGATGAGGCCCAGCTGTGAAGCAATGCAAGCTGCTTTGGGCCTTGGACCTTCTTTTGGAAGTTCTGAGTCTCTCTGACCCAGCTGCAGTTTGTTAGGTAATTTTCAGATTGCAAAGGGCCAGGCCATTCATATGCAAAAGCCTCAACAGGGTGGAGCAAACAGCTATGGCTGATCCTCAGCCCTGCCCTAAGAGGCCCTGGGTCTCAGTGTCCCAGGGTAATCTCTGCAAGCACCTCTGAGAGAAAGCCGCCCTCGAGTTCCACCCTATGCCAGACAGTCCAGTTTCTCCCCGTATGAGTCTGGGTCCCCAAAGACTTCCCGGAACTGGAGTTCAGAGCAGTCGGGAGCTTGTGTCTCCCTCCTGATTGAAAAAGACAACCACGTCCCCATTTGCCAGCCCTTTCCATGTGCACCTCTGTACCTCTGTACTTCACTTCCACACCTCCTCTGGTTCTCAGTGTGCTTTTCTCTTTCCTTCTAGTTGTAGAATTTCGCCTCAGCCAGCCTTCCGGTAGTTCTGGATGATGTCCATTTTGTCTTCTAGTTGTAGTTTTGAAGTGGTTGTGTGAGGCAGCAATTTCAGATGTTTATCTATGCCGCCATCTTGGTTTCTCCCTTATTTTAATATTTTTTAGAAATAGTATCCCTATACATGGAAATACACCTCTTTGCAACTTCTATCCTTCCATCTTAGATTTTTCTACTCCATCCACACAAAATAATTTATTCTCCTTTTTGTACTTTTTAAAATATTTAAAGACATAACCACTTTCCCACTAAATCTCCTTTGTTTTCTAACTATTCTTCAAAATTGCATTACATCTGTTTGGTTAGAAAATTAGATTTTCAGGAGTTGATGCTTAAGTAAATATTTAATGCATATTGCTGCACTGCAGAACTCTGTTTATTAAAAATGGAGGATAACAAGACCAATAAAATAATTTCTGGTTGTAATGCAGTAGCATATTTCAAATATGCAAGCTGTGATGCCTTTTAGATTGAGGGTATCAATCAAGACACCAGCAATTTCTTTTCATTGTACTTTACATTTACTGAGTCCTACCTTTCCTGATCTTAGTCAACTTATGTTTCATGAGCATAAAGGCTGTACTAAAAATCACATTTCTATATAGAAACCTGATACTAATATTTTCTTTTTTTCAAAAGAAAAGTTGTCATAGTGTTTAGACATGATTGTCTTATTTGAAGTATGGTGTTGGAGGAAGGCTCTACAGATACCCTGGACAGCCAGAAAGACAAACAAGTGGATCCAAGGGCAAGTTAAGCCTGAAATATCACTGGAGGCAAAGAAAACAAAATAAAAGACAAAACTGAAGCTGTCTTACTTCAGGCACATCATGAGAAGGCAGAGTTATTTTGAAGAGACAATAATGCTTGGGAAAATCAAAGGCAGCTGGAATAAGGAAAATCAAATATGAGATGGATTGAGCCCATAAAAGAAGCTGTAGGTAGGAGTCTATTAGTACAAGGGCTGAGCAGGGCAGCTGAGAACATGATATTGTGAACATCACTCATTCATAGGGTTGCTAATGGCTTGTAACACACACACACACACAACACACACACACAAGCACATCATGAGGTGTTAGAAATAGATTTTTATCTTCTAGATATAGTCCAAGAATCTCTTTATTTGTGAGACAGGTCAGTAGTTGGTCCAGAAACTAATGTTCCACAGTTGTCTGTGACAATGAACAGACCATCAATTCAGTAGTCCATCACCTGCATAGATTTCTAGATGATAAATCCCTGGGTACCCAGTGGATGCTTGGGGCTTTTCCTGATTCCCAGGTAGTCCTAAGAGATTTCACTTTCTCCTTTCTATTAAGCAAAATATGTTGGTCTTTCCACTTATTTTTCAGAGTCAGGGAAACTCAAGATCAGTCTATGATAACTGCACAGGGATCATTTTGTTAGGGAGTCTGAGTGACACTGAGGACATTAACTCAAAGGTGCCATTTCTTTTATTACTTATTATAAAGCAGTCACCCACTAATTTATCTTTTAAAGTAATATATATTTCAAACTGACATCAATTCTTAGAATAAAATGTAGCACCCATGTCTAAAATGTAGTTTATTATTCTTAAGATACTTCATTCAAGCAGGAGCATGATAGGTAATAGGGACACAGATATTTAATCTTCTTATTTTTTTAAAAAAAGTCAGCATTTTCATGTTGATACTGCAGACCATGACATACTTTCTCCATTGCAACTCAGTTTAACTGACACAGTTTAAGTGAGTTTCCAATTAAAATATGAAAAATAAATTTTTCTGGGGACAAATGAAGATTTTAAGCCAAAAGATAACACAAAGCAATGCTTTGCTTTAAATTTAATTTCATGTCTAGTGTAGGGTCACTACATTTTTTAAAGGCAAGGTTTAAATGTAAGTGCATGAAATTGAGAAATAATACCAATTTCCAAGAATAAAACTTCAATTATCCAAAATCATCTGGGGATGAATTTTCTACATATATCTACTTTCTAGATAACAAAGTTTACCATATCTTGGGAATCATTTTCAACTGCATCATATACGTCCTTGACTTTTTCTCAGCAACATACGGACTGACTTGTCTGCACTGAGGGTCTTTGGGATGGTAAAGTGCGTAGAGCTGTTGACCCTGCCCTGAATGCCAGAGCCCATAATACTTGCCCAATGACTTTGGTTGGGTCACCTCTTCCTTTGATATCCATTAAAGAATACATATTCCATTCTCTTAGTTTGTTGCTTCCACCTGTATTTGCCTTGAGAAAACTAAAGAAACAATCTCTGTCCATGCACCAGAAGGTCACAAGTTCAATTCCCAGTCAGGGCACATACCTAGGTGTGAGTTCAATCCCCAGTCGGGAGGTGAATGGGAAGCAATGGATCAAGGTACCTCTCTCACATCACATCGATGTTTCTCTCTCTCTCCCCATTCCTCACACTCTAAAATCAATTTAGAAACAGAAACAATCTCATTAAAATTATTTATTAAAATAAGTTTTTTTTAAGTCACTGAGTGAGGGAGTAGAAATATTGTCAATGGAATTCAAATTCAGGGAATTTGTGTCAGTTGTCGGCTTGACAGGTATGTTCTGGAGGATTGAATTTCCCAGTAGGTTAACCCTAAACTAAGTGCTGGATTACTATACATGTGCTGCAGCCTCTTTTCTCCTTAATGATGGGAGAATTCTAGAAGATCTGTGTTCTAATGATACACCCAGTTATAGACCTGAGTTTCATAAAGCAATAGCATATTGTAGTAGAGATTTAGAGTTTAGCCTCTATCTATTTCCAGCTCTGTCACCCCCTAGTGGTATGACTTTGGATAGAAACTTACCTCTGATTGATCTTATCCCCTTGGAATGAAAAGGGATATAACCTGATAAGGTCTAAGGTGCTTCCAGCTCCAAAAGCCATTATGAGGGACTGGAGATCACCAAGAGGAATCTCTCCCGGTAATATTTGGTGTGAAGGTAATTGTGATGTTATGTAGAATGAAATGAAATGAAGGCCATAAGTACACAGTTAAAAGAGAAATAGGATCAGAACCTATGAGTCAACTTATGAATGATCTGCTCTCCTTGGTAAAATCTGAAAAGTATCATCATCATAATTATTCTAATAACTGATGCCACTGATATAATTTTTAAAACCTAAGCTCCAGCCTAAGTATTTAATTAACCTTTTCAAATTAAATGTATATGTATATATGTATATTTGTGTTCAACAAGAATACCTTAAAAAATTTCTGGAACTTCAATTAACTTATATCCTTTGGGTCTGTCAATTGAAATTGAATTGGCCTATGGATCCCTCTGTTGAGAAATGTATATGTTTATTTGGGTACGGACATCAGTTAACTCACCTTTTGGGATCATGACCAAGGGTAAGATAATGGTGGTGATGAAAATATAAAAAAAAATCTCTCTCTTTGGAAGACTTGACCCCAAGGTAAGTGGTGATAAGAAAAAATAGGTGTAGGGATTAAGAGAATTAAATTCATGATCTACACATTGTAAATGCAAAGTTTCTCTTAAAGAAAGACTTTATTCCTACTAAGGCACAGCCCAATAATGGAGTTAGGATGCATCTGCATTTCTCCTCTTCAACTTGATCCAGATGCCATTAGTAGGACGAAGAATCAGCTCTCCTGTCAGACCAAGTTCTTCTCTTTTCTGGTTGGATTCTACCCAAAAATGCCTCAGGATCCATGAAAGAACGACCTTTTCTTCCATCATGGCAAACCTTTGACCTTCAAATTAATGTAAATAGCATGACTTTAATTACAGATCTATCTCAAATGGGAGAAAGAACAGGTTCTATTAGAGGAAGCAAGTGATGTTAGATTTTCACAGTAGGCCCTGGGAGAACCAGTATCATTCACGATGATTTCTAGTGGTAAAGACTCTTGAGTGCCCTTCCCTGCTCCCACCCAGTGCATCTGAATACTCTGAGGACAAGGAATCTAGCCCACGCAGCACCCAGGTGAATCCTGGGCTCATTGAAGCATGAGAACCACTACTCTAGAACGCTTTCCTACTGGGCCTTTCATGTAGTTTACTATAGAGTTACCAGGCCTCATTGTACCAATGCCTGCATTTACATAAACAGTAAAACCCCAGAGATACTAAAGCCAAAAGTGTGTATAATGCATGGTGATGTGCATTCATTTTGTTGAAGTACTTCTGCTGGTCCTATGGTGAGCATTCTCAGTTTTGGTTTTGAAAAAAGCAATTCTTAAAAGCAATAAAAACAGGTTAAATAAACTAATTGTTATAAATAAGCTTTCTACCATATAAAGTATATTCTACTTCAATCCAAAGATCTACATTTTAAAACTCTACCATGAAACTGGTTATGCTTTATGTTATGGGCTGAATGGTATTCCCCCCAAATCCATCTGCTGAATTCTTAACCCTCAGTACCTCACAATGTGACTGCATTTGGGGATAGGGCCCTTAAAGAGGTGATTAAAATAAAATGAGGTCCTATGGATGGGCCCTAATCCAATCTGACTGGTGTCTTTATGAAAAGAAGAGATCAAGCCCTGGCTGGGTGGCTCAGTTGGTTGGTATGTCATCCCATTCACCATGAGGTTGTGAGTTCAGTTCCATCAGGGCATATACTTAGGTTGTGGGTTAGATTCCTGGTTGGGGCATGTATGGGAGGCAACCACAATCAATGTTTCTCTCACATCAATGTTTCCCTCTCTCTCTAAAAATCAATAAAAACATATCCTTGAGTGGGGATTAATTAGAAACACACACACACACACACAAACACACACACACACAGGAATAAACTATGTGAAGACACAGGGAGAAGACATCTATCTACAAGCCAAGGAGAGAGGCCTCAGAAGAAACAAGCCCTGCAGACACCTTGATCTTGGACTTCTGGCCTCCAGAATTGTGAGAAAATAAAATTCTGTCATTTAAGCCACCCAGTCTGTGGTGCTTTGTTACAGCAGCCCTAGAAAACTGATATACTTTACGACAGTCATAGTAAAGTGGGGAAAAAATAAAACTAGTTTTTTAACAGACTTGTATCTGAGACACCACATCTCTAAGACATTACATCTCAAAGTTGTGAGAAACCCCTGCCCTGTGCTCCTGAAAGGTCAAACCGATTCTGATGGATACAAACCTATACAGTTTCTGGGTCCTGCAGAGAAGGGCACATATGCGTATGGATGGCGTCCCATCGAATTCTCGGGAAAGAACCGCTCTGGCTTGAACTCCTCAGGGTCTGGGAAGTACCGTGGGTCTCTATGCAGTGCGTAGGGAATGATGATTATTTGAGAGCCTTTCACGACGTTGTACCCCCCTGTCATGAGATAGTCGGTATGTCATGAGAACAGAGCAAGACAGACACAGAAAAGTCCACTCTCCCCACTACTTTCATGGAAGAATTCTCACCAACATCACAATCTTCATTAAGATCACGGGCAATTATAGGCACAGAAGGAAAAATACGAAGGGTCTCCTTAATAACACACTCCAGATATTTAAGTTTCTTCAGGTCTTCTAAGGTAACGGGGCGATGAGAATTCCCTGATCAAAGTAAATATATGAAATAAAATAAACGAATGAAAGAAAAGACTATTTGGGCTTGGTGGATAAGACATCAAAAAAGAATATATTATAACATCAATACACTGAATGTTAAATACCAACAGCTAAAGTAAAATTCTTAATAGTATAGATAATCAAAATAAAATGAGACAATAATGCTAAGTAAAAAAACCAGATGCAAAAGGTCACATGTTGTATCATTAAATTTGGAGGAAGTACTCAGAGAAGATAAATCCATAGAGACAGAGTGTAAATGAGGTGCTGCCAGGGGCTGGAGGAAGAGAAAATGGGAAGTGGCTGATTAATGGTGCAGGGTTTCCTTTTGGCTGCTGAAATGGGTTGTAATTAGACGGAGGTGACAGTTGCATAACATTGTGAATGCATGAAACTATAAGTTTAAAACATTTAATTTTGAATTCTCAGAGCCTCTTCCAGAAGTGTATCTTCTCCTGGGTCAGATTCTTGGACTCTCCCCATAGCCTGGCCCCCAAACGCCCTCCATTCCCACCTCAAGAAGAAATCCAAATGGCTTCTTGGACTTGCCAATGGGAGAACATACACAGCAGGAAGCAACTGAACATATTGAGAAAGCAAAAAATGAGAGAGACCAACTCAATGAACAAGCCAGTGGGAAGATTCTGAAGGTGGACATATAACAAATCTGCCAACCATTGTTTTTCAGAAGAGGTAGGAATTGATGGCCCAAATCCCAACTTTTCGAGCACAACATTTGCAACCATCTCTATGCCTGCACTGCTTGGGGAGACACATGGAAAGGCACTGTGTTATTTAACCAGAGTTGAAGTACAGAATTGAAAAGTAATAAATCAGGTCACAGAACAGATTTTCATTTCGATGAAAACCCTTCCTTGGAAAATAATTGCACCCAAAGAATTTCATCTGAGTGCAAGCCGTGATGCATTTTCAAAGTCCACGAAATATCTGGAAAGGATTTGATGAAATGTTCAAATCCAATGCAGGATAACGCCAGCAGGAAGAGGCTGAGAAACAAAAATCTGGTTTATGGCCATTCTGATGCAGGTGCAGATAAGTTGGGAGAGATCATTGAAGGTGGTATTTGCCAAAATCCAATTCATTACTACTTGCTTCCTGACATGGAAGATGAAGATGGGGAAGGAGAAGAGAAGAAGATGATGATGGAGGGGGAGAGGGAGAGGATTGAAAGCTACCAACGAAGAAGCTGATGAGGATGAAGGAGACGATGACTAAGGAACACTGATGGATTCCAACCTTCTTTTTAAAAGTTTCCTCCAGTCACTGGGAGCAAGTTACAGTCTGGGTTTTGTTTTGTTTTGTTTTACTCTTAGGCTCAGTCATTCTGCTCTTGAAGTCTTTTCTCTCCCTTACATCCTGGTTCTCAACTTATTTTGGGGGAAATACCTTGAGCTGAATACAGTGAGAAAAGAATCTCTAACGCTTTCTGTTCCAAATTCACTTTTTTTTCTTTACTTTTAGAAGTATTTTTATTTTTTCCATTGATTTTTATTTATTTTTCTTTATTGATTAAGGTATTACATATGTGTCCTTATCTTCCCCATTGCCCTCCTATGTCTTCCACCACTCATGCCCTCAGCCCCTGGTGTCTGTGTGCATTGGTTAGGCTCATATGCATGCATACAAGTCCAAATTCACTTTCATCCCTCCCTGATTCAACAAACACTATGTGGAATCAATGCCCCTGTGCTCATGGGAAAGAAAAACCTTCTGCTTACTTTGCTCCGCTGGAGGCTGGAGGCTCAGCCTGTGCAGTAGCGCACAGAATTCTAACATGCTTCTTCCTTTCTCTGTACACTGAGCACACAGATTACACTGTGTCTCTATGAATGTGGACAGTTAGCATTTACCAACATATACCTGTCTACTTTCTCTTGTATGGAACATTTTTTAAAATAAAAAAAAAGTTTACGGAAGGTCAAAGGGTAGATGAGATGTTTGGGTTAGTTAAGTGGGCATTTTGACAACAAGGCTTCCCCTTTGGTATGTTTAATTGTGATGTTTAATGGACTTCCTTACAGTTTAAGATGATACTTTTAAAATAAAATTCTCGCCCTTACCGGTTTGGCTCAGTGGATAGAGTGTCAGCCTGCGGACTTAAGGGTCCCAGGTTCGATTCCGGTCAAGGGCATGTACCTTGGTTGTGGGCACATCCCTAGTGGGGAGTGTGCAGGATGTAGCTGATTGATGTTTCTCTCTCATCGATATTTCTAACTCTTTATCCCTCTCCCTTCCTCTCTAAAAAATCAATAAAATATATTAAAAATAAAATAAAATTCTCTCCTAATAATGGCCTGGGCTCTGCCACTCAATGGGACAGTAGCAGACCTGCAGAATCTTATTTGGAACCATCATTCTCTACTGTAATTTTGTTCCTGTTTATTTAATTTCTGTTTGTTTGTTTCACTGGGAAAAAAAAGATAATGCTCAATTTTAAACATTAAAAGTGTTCCAGTTGCTTCTTATAATGAAACTAAATGTGAAGTCTACCTCAGTAAAAAAAAAGAAAAGAAACGAAAAACAGGAATGAATACTTACATCTCAATATCCAAAGATCAGTTGCTCAAAAAATTTTTAGAACTAATACTGGAGGTAGAAGAGAAGTGAGGCACAATTAGCATAAAGCATGGAAGCAGCAGAATAAAAATTCTAGTAAAAATGGTGTCACTGATCATGTGAGATCCAAAAGCATTTGTGACACCTGCATTGGGCTAAAAATTGTAAAAAACACAAATGTGGGAACACATTCCAAAAGAACCTGGGTTTCTAGAACACCCAATTTACCCACCAGAGGCAATCTGAGAGAAATTCAACTTGATACAGGAAAAATGAAATGACGACAAAAACAGAGCCCAGAAGTTTAGATCGTCTCCATTCTACAAAACAAAGTCTTCCCTCTTGGTATGAAATTCCAGTCCTCACACCATCTGGACATGAAATTCCTTTTCCCACTTCAACTCTCAATGGGTTCTAACAAATGTTCTGAATTCCACCTGTCCTTTAATGCTTACTGTTATCTTCCCACTTCTCCACTCTGCCATTGTGCAACTGGAGCCTCTCTTCCCAGAATGTCTTCCACCTCCTCCTCTTTTCCTTTATTATTCCTTCCCCACTTTGCACTAGGAAAATCCATCAGACACCACTTTGTTGGTTGGCCAACCCAACCTTTACCTTTCTATTCCCAGCCATGGGAAACCATATGACATCTGATTAATCTGATTAAACAAAGGATTAAGTTGATGGCACAATGCAAAGTTCCTGGTGGTAGGCTGATCATGACCCACAAATATATCAGTCCTAATCCCTAGAACCTTTAAATATTACTATTTTTTTGAAAAGGTGCTTTTGAAGATTTTATCAAGGATCTTAAAATGGAGAGATGATCGTGGATTATCCATGTGGGCCATGAATGCCATCACGAATGTCATAAGAGAGAGCAGAGGGAGATTTGACACACACCCACAGAAGAGAAGGTCATGTGAAGATGGAGACAGAGATTTGAATGATGTGGCCATAAGCCAAGGTATGTTGGCAGTCACCAGAAGGAGTGGATTCTCCCCTCAGGCTTCCAAAAAGTGCAGCCCTGCCAACACACTGATTTAACTCAGAGATACTGATCTGGGCCTTCTGGTGTCCAGAACTGTAAGTGAATATATTTCTGTTGTGCTAAGCCACCCAGTTTGCAGAATCGGTGACCACAGTCAAAGGAGACTAATATTATCCTTCATCCCCTACCTTCTCATTTCTTATTGCCTTAAAGATAAGCATGAGACCCAGAACAACAATCAAGAAAACAAAATCCACAATGATGAAAATGACAGAGAGAAAAAAGAACAAGCCCAGGATTCTCTCAACATCCATACAGGCATCAGCCTAGGGCCCTTTACCTACAGGTTACTGGTTGTACAAAAGAAATGTATGACCCATCAGCTTAACCCACAGCAATCCTATACGGAACAGCTCTCCTTGACCCTGCTAACCAGCTTCACCTCTCCTCTCTGCTCTCCGCTAGCCCCTTCTTCCTCATATCGCCCAAGCACACAGCCATGACTTGATACTTTCTACACAGTGTCTGCTTCACCTATGAAGCGTGAGGTCCTTGAGGACAGTGACATTTATCTGTGTAGCCCCCGCATCTACGCCGGTGCAGTCACATGCCAAGCACAGGAAACGACTGTAAACAAATGCAGGAGGTCTTACAAAGGACATTCGCCCTGGAAGGGGTACCATATGGCAGCCATCCTGCTTATTACAGTGTCTTTAGAACAGGCCCGACTGCACATTCTTAATGAGGAAGAATGCCATTTGCTTCAGTGACTTGGGGTCTTCAATGTAAGTAGTGAAAGGGCCATACATACCAAACACTTCATCCAGTTCATTGTCCAACTTTTTCTGGACTTCTGGATAGCAACCCAGAAGGTACAAGGCCCAGTTCATTCCAGCTGCAGTTGTATCATGGCCCTACAAATGTAAGAGAAAAAACTAGCTTAGAAAGCAGAGTTCTATTGAGAAGGTTAGGGATGCTAGCTCTATTTTGAATTGTCTCTGGATTTGACAGCTGTGATGTGACCCCAGACAGAACAAGTTAATTTTATACAGTATTTTACCTCAGTGGGGAACAAACCAATGAAACAATCCCTTCAAAGGGGATGCCTCTGGGTACAGGGACATTCAATACGACAGAGTCACATACTTGGTGAGAGTGGCTGGGCTGGGCTAACAGGAGGCATGCTGAGGGAACTCCGTGCGCTGGACTGTTTTTGAGGAAATAAAAGTGTGATTTCCCTGAGCAAAGTGGCCAGATCTGCACTTCTCCACTGTCCTCCATTTGTTTGGTTCGCTTTACCCGGACACCAGGGAGCATATGGCTGGTACTGAGCAACAGTCTCCACAATAAGAAGTTGATGAATTGACCCATTTAAACCTTGCTTAGTTTGAGGCAAAATACCAAACATTTTGTAGAAATGAACTCAATTATTCTTCATAAAAAATCCATGGGAGCCCGGCCGGCCTGGCTCAGTGCTTGAGCATCGAACTAAGAACCAGGAGGTCATGGTCGATTCCTGGTCACGACACATACTTGGATTGTGGGCTCAAGCCCCAGCAGGGGGCATGTAGTAGGCAGCCAATCAATGATTTTCTCTCCCATTGATGTTTCTGTCTTTCCTCTCCCTTCAATAAAAATATATTCTCTGAAATCAATATATATATATGTATTTTTAAGATCTCCATGGGATACATGATCCCCCTATTCACATTTTAGAGATGACAAACTGAGCCCCCAAAAGATGCTACATGACTTTCCCAGGGCCCAAAGCTTCATAGGAGGTGGAAGCAAGAGTAGGACCCTCAGAGTTTCTGATGACAAAGCAGAGTCCACACTCTTCACCACAGGGAGCATGGAGGATCCAGGGTGAGGAGAGTCCAGCTCCAATACTGATGGTGACACCCTGGATGACCTTCTTCTCTGTTTGTTCATTGTCTTTAGGCATCAGTCCCTTATTTCCTGTCCTCATCTCACCAGGACACTCCACATGCAAAATGGTAAGTTCTTCAGAAAAAAACCAATGTATTTGAAAAAAAATAATACTATTATAATTCTTTCTGGTCCATTTACTCTATGAAACATAAGTGACCATTGCAACATTTCATCTCCTGGGCAGGTCTCTGAAGCACTTGTTTTAGCTCCTAAGTGGAAATGTTGAGGACTTTTCTGCAATTTTAAAAAATAATGTTTATAAGTCTCTGATGTTGGCATGATTGTATTTTCTCACACTTGCAATTTCTTTACAGAAATGACTCTGAAGTCCAGACAAAAGCTGGCCCATGTCACTCAGTTGTTTAGCAAAGTCATAGAGGACATGCTCTTGCTAAACAATTCTAATAGCTTCTCTTGAATTTGAAAATGAATTTCCTGTTTTATTTTTGTCTGAGATCTAAAGGGAGCAAACATAAAGCACGGAGCCAACAAGTGCATTGGGGGAACTGCGCAGAGCAAGGATCAGCCAATCCAGGAGCATAAAAGTACTGGCATAGACATAGAAGCATGGAACAGATTGTCTGTTCCATATCAGAGGGAAGGAGGGGGTGGGTGTGTGAGTGGGTGGGAAGAGATCAACCAAAGAACTTGTATGCATATATGCATAACCCATGGACACAGACAATAGCGTGGTGAAGGCCTTGGTTGCGGGGCAAGAGCACGCTATAAGGGGTCAATGGGGGAAAACATGGAACATATGTAATATTTTTAACAATAAAGATTTAAAAAATAAATAAAATAAAATTTAAAATTAAAAAAATAAAATAAAAGGCCTGGCAGCAACAGCCTGCATCCTCTTACGGAGGAGGTCAGAATATTGTAATTATACATGCTATACCTACTGTTTCATGGGAAGAAGGAAAAAATTAGAACTTCAAAGAATGTTAGAGATGCAAGAAAGAGATCGTTAGTCTGGTTGTTTTTTGTGTGTGTGGAAGTGAGAGGTTACTGGTGGAAGATGGATGTGTATGTGCAGGTGTGTGTATTTGTGTGTGTGAGTGTGTGTGTAAGTGCATGTGTGAGTGTGTGTATGCATGTGTGGGTATAGCGGTCACTTCAACATCAGACACCAGCCAATATCTGTTGCACGAGAATGTGTCAGGCACTATGGTTGGTTCACATTAGAAAACTATGCACGTAGTCCTCAGAGCTGTTCTGTGCGGCCCATGTTATTACAGTGAGGACACAGAAGTCCCGAAAGGGAGAGGAGGTGCCGAGGTCACACTTCTAGGATAGGTCAGAGCTGGGATTTGGCCCCACAGCCCACTCTTTAGTGAATTAGATGTCCATTTTCTGCATAATGTTTCTTTTCAATAAAGTGATCTGCTTAAAATAGAAGTTTAAAACCGCTGATATAGTCCATCTTTCCACTTTCCACACAGGGAGACTATGGCAGAGATCTGCAATGACTGGGCCTGTCTCATCTGGCCAGTCAGCACAGACCTGGGAGAGGTCAAGTCTGTGGACCCTTCACACTGCTTGCTTCCTGCTACAGGGAGCAGAGCCACCTCCCTGGGGAGGCACTGCACCCAGGCGGCTGCAGGCAGAACAAAGATAATGCATGCAGTCCGCCATCGAAAACTGATGGATTTCCCTTTCTTCCATTTCCAGGATATTCCACATGCTGCCTTTTAAAACCATTTCTTAATCTTTATTTGGTAAACCACATGTTAAGAGGTTTTCTCTTTATAATATTTAATGAAGTTAAAATTATCTTCGCAAAAAATTTGTCTTTTTGCCCAGCCAGTGTTGATCAGTGGCTGAGTGTTGACCTATGAACCAGGAGGTCATGGTTCAATTCCTGGCCAGGGCACATGCAGGAGGCAGCCAATCAATGATTTTTTTCTCATCATTGATGTTTCTATCTCTCTCTCCCTATCCCTTTCTCTATCTGCCTAAAAAACAATCAATAATACTATATATTTTTAAAAATTTGTCTTTTTTTATGTAAAGACCAGAAATCTCCTTAGAATCACAAACTGGTTAAATTCTCTACTAGAAGGAGCTGGGAAGATGGTGGCTGGCAGGACGGAGGTGAGGAAGAGGGTGTGAGTGAGTGATGAAGTGACAGGGGAGTGTGTGGACGTGTGCAGAGTGTGTGAATGAGTGAGGGACAGTTAAATCCAGCAGGAGTACCAGAGGCTGGCAGACCAGGCTCTCCTGGACAGGCCGCCCCTATCACCGCTGCAGGCACTCCCCGGGCTGTGGGGCTCAGGCAGGGAGCACACACCATCTTGAAGGGGAGAGGGGCCTCCTCTAGGAACTCATCAGCACCACCACCCAGACTGGCCTTGACACTGCCTGCGACCCTGCAGCCACACCAGACGAAGGCCTGCTGCCTCGCCCACAGACCTGCAGACCCTAGGACATCTCCCTCCAAGGGCGCACAGATCCCGCAGCAGTAAGTGCAAGTTCCCCCTCGCCGGCTGCTGACCTATGGACACTGTGGTCACGGCCACCCTGAGTCCCCTGCCCTGGCAAAGGGCTCTCTGGTGCCTCTGTGAGCCACTGCTGGGTGCACTCGTATCCAAACAAGAATGCACGGCCCCTGCAGTAGAAACTCAGACTTCCCACTTCCCGGCTGCCTGCCCACAGACCCAGTGGTCACGTGGTTTCAGCATAGGTCCCCTGAGTCCGCTGCCCCAGCAGGCAGCTCCCAGGTGCCTCTGTGAGCAGCTGCTGGGCCCACTTGTATCCAACCAAGATCTGAAGGCCTTGGCTGCAGAAACTCAGTCTTCCCCGTCCTTGACTGCTGACCTCTGGTCGCTGCAGTTGCAACGAACCAGCACACAGGTCCTCTGACCCTGCTGCCCCTGGAAGGCGGCTCCCAGGTACCTCTCTGAGCCACCGCAAGGCACAACCCTGGGTACCAGCACCCAATTCCCATGGTAGAACTGCTCCAGCACATAGGCCCTGTGAACCCACTGCCCCAGTAGACAGCTCCTGGGTGCCTCTGTAAGCCACCATGGGGTGCACATATCTAACCAAGAATGCACAGCTCCGGAAGCAGAAACTGGGACTTCTCCCTCCCTGGGGTGGCGGCACACCACGATCCTGCACCTCCAGCATGTGGGTCCCACAAGCATACAGCCCCAGCAGATGGCTCCTGGGCCCCTAGTGAGCTGCCATTGGGTGTGTGCCTCTCCAACCAAGGGCACACGGCTCCCTCAACAGGATCTATGACATCCCCTCCTGACTGTCTACCTCTGGACACCTTGTTGAGTTACTGAGGACCTGCCCAGACAAGGTCATACTGTTTCAGTCACAGGCTCCAAGAATCCTACAACCCCAGCTGCTGGCTCCTAAACCCCCTTGTCATTCAGAGAGGGAAATCACTTTGGCCAGAGTCCCACTGCCTCAACCGCAGACTATGGGACAGCCGTCTTCCACCGTCCCGGGCTCTGGGACCTCGTAGTGAGTTACAGAGTGACGCGACCCCAGCAAGAGTCACACAATACCATCCAAAGTTAGAGTACCTGAGCCTCAGGCCCCAAGACCCCTTCCTCCCAAGCAGGCGGACTCCTGGAACTCACAGTGAGCACATACCAGTGATACCTCAATTAACTCTTTCCACAAGAGCTGGAACCACTATCACATCCACAGCAGCTTACAAAACGAAGCTGGGGGTGAGTCACATTACCAATCTGTGACAAGACTTCATCCACGATTAAGAAACTAATATTCAAGACCCAACTACATCAATAGAACCCAAATAGCTCAAGTAGGGGGCTCTGCTAGATCACCAAATGCAGGAGATTTGAGATACTGCACCAGTGGGTCCCCAAAAGTCACCAATTACATAGCACCACATCCAAAAGAACCTGGGTAGCAAATCAGTTGGATCTAAGACATAGAAACAATTAAACAGCAAAAAAATGGGGAGAGAAAACAAAATGGTGGCATAGGTAAACACCAGAAATTGCTGCCTTGCACAACCACTTCAAAAATACAACTAAAAGACAAAAGGACATGACGCAGAACCACGGGAAGGCAGAGAAGGTGTGGAAGTAAAGTGCAGAGGTACAAAGGCGCAAGTAGAAAGGGCTGACAGCTGAGGACACGGTTGTCTTCATCTTTTTTTTCTTTTTTAAATATATTTTATTGATTTTTTACAGAGAGGAAAGGAGAGGGATAGAGAGGTAGAAACACCGATGAGAGAGAAACATTGATCAGCTGCCTCCTGCACACCTCCTACTGGGGATGTGCCCGCAACCAAGGTACATGTCCTTGACCGGAATCAAACCTGGGACCTTTCAGTCCGCAGGCTGACGCTCTACCCACTGAGCCAAACCAGTTAGGGCACGGTTGTCTTTTTCAATCTGGAGGGAGTCTCAAGCTCCCAACTGCTATGAACTCCAGTTCCGGGTGAGTCTCTGGGGACCCAGATTCATACCGGGAGAAACTGGACTGTCTGGCATCGGTCAGAACTTGTGAGTGGCTCTCTCCCAGAGGTGCTTGCAGCAATTACTGAGACACTGAGATGTGGGGCCCCTTAGGGTAGGACTGAGGAGTAGCCATAGCTGCTTGCTCTGCCCTATTGATCCCCTGAGACCCCGCCCCACCTAAGCTGTGCACAGAGGCTTTTGCATATGAAAGGCCTGGCCCTTTGCAATCTGAAAATTACCTAACAAACTGCAGCTGGGTCAGAGAAACCCAGAACTTCCAAAAGAAGGCCCAAGGCCCCACAACAGCTTGCATTGCTTCACAGCTAGGCCTCCTCTGGGCACCTCCAAACCTCAAACAAAGAAGAGGAATCTGCAGATCTCTCCGTAGCTCCTGCCGGGTAGCCTCAGGCAGAGGCTAAATTAGCACCTCCTTAGAGATCCAAGAGTTAGTGTACACAGTGGTCAGAGTGGGACTATCCTGATTACAACTCCTCAGATCCATAAGGGACACAGTCAGGAGGCAGACTTAGTGATCACCAAAGCCCCGCTGAAGCAATTCTTGCCCCATAAGGGTGCCTCCAGCACAGAAGTTCTCCCACCATAGACACAGCTGACTCTCACAGCCAATTGGCCTGGAGGTCAATTCCTCCCAGTGATACCTACAACAATCAAGGCTTAACTACAACAAGACTGTGCACACAGCCCACAAAGGGGTGCACCAAGAGTGTCCACCTCACGTAATTGGGGTGGCTGAGCCACTGGGCCCTATAGGACACCTAGCACAGAAAGCCACTCTATCAACACAGGGAAGCATAAAAAATGTGAAGACAAACAGGTCACAAATGACAAAAATGGAGGAAAGCAAACTACTGGATATAGAGTTCAAAACCACGGTTATAAGGTTTTTCAAGAATTTTCTAGAAACCACTGATAAATTTAGTGAGACCTTCAAGAAATCTAGTGAGACCCTTGAGGTTATGAAAAAGGACCAACTAGAAATTAAGCATACACTGACTGAAATAAAGAATATTATACAGAGTTCCAACAACAGACTAGAAGATCGCAAGAATGAAATCAAAGATTTGAAATACGAAAAAGCAAAAAACACCCAACCGGAAAAACAAAAAGGAAAAAAGAATACAAAAATATGAAGATAGTGTAAGGAGCCTCTGTGTTAACTTCAACCGTACCAACATCTGAATTATGGGGGTGCCAGAATAAGAGAGAGAGCAAGATATTGCAAACCTATTTGAAGAAATAATGACAGAAAACTTCCCCTACCTGGTGAAAGAAACAGACTTACAATTCCAGGAAGTGCAGAGAACCCCAAACAAAAGGAATCCAAAGAGGACCACACCAAGACACATCATAATTAAAATGCCAAGAGCAAAAGACAAAGAGAGAATCTTAAAAGCAGCAAGAGAAAAACAGTTAGTTATCTACAAGGGAGTACCCATACAACTGTCAGCTGATTTCTCAAAAGAAACTATGCAGGCCAGAAGGGAGTGGCAAGAAATATTCAAAGTGATGAATAGCAAGAACCTACAACCAAGATTACTTTACCCAGCAAAGCTATCATTCAGAATTGAAGGTCAGATAAAGAGCTTCACAGATAAGGAAAAGCTAAAGGAGTTCATCACCACCAAACCAGGATTATATGAAATGCTGAAAGGTATCCTTTAAGAAGAGGAAGAAGAAGAAAATGGTAAAGATACAAATTATGAACAACAAATATGCATCTATCAACAAGTGAATCTAAAAATCAAGTGAATAAATAATCTGATGAACAGAATAAACTGGTGAATATAATAGAATCAGGGGCTTAGAAAGGGAATGGAATGACAATTCTTGGGGGGGAAAGGGTTGTGCGTGTGTGGGAAGAGACTGGACAAAAATCGTACAACTAAGGATGAGGACAGTGGGAGAGGGGGGGGCGGTAAGGGCAGAAGGTAGGGTGGGACCTGGGTGGAGGGGATTTATGAGGGGAAAAAAGAGGAACTACTGTAATAACCTGAACAATAAAGATTTAATTTTACAAAAATGAAAAAAAAATGGG